ATCACAGCTGACGCTTGATGAATGCTTCCTATGTGCTGCGCATGAATATAAGCACTTCATGTGTGTGAACTCATTTCATCCTCAAAACAATCTTGTGAAGGAGGTACTATTATTGTTCCCACTTTATAGATGGGAAAACTGAGGCCCAGAGAGGTTAAGAAACTTGCCCAAGGTCACGCAGCTAGTAAGTGGCAAAGCAGCATGCACATGCAAGCCATCTGGCCCCAGAGTCTAAGTCCTTTTTTGTTGTTGTTGTTTTTGAGACGGAGTCTCTGTTGCCCAGGCTGGAGGGCAGTGACACGATCTCAGTTCACTGCAACCTCTGCCTCCTGGGTTCATGAGATTCTCCTGCCTCAGCCTCCTGAGTACCTGGGATTACAGGCGCCTGTCACCACGCCCAGCTACTTTATGTATTTTAGTAGAGATGGGCTTTCACCATGTTGACCAGGCTTTGTCTCGAACTCCTGACCTCAAGTGATCCACTCGCCTCAGCCTCCCAAAGGGCTGGGATTACAGGCGTGAGCCACCATACCCGGCTGAGTCCATGTTCTTTAGCTAGCTTATTTAATATTCCCCCAAAGCCTAGCAGCAGGTGTAACATCTGCACCCTTTACAGGCGAGGAAGTCAGGCCTCAGTGTACTGAGCCACTTTACGCTTGGTTCCTCCCTTGACTCTGCCATGCATTCTTCAAGCTGCAAATTCACCTCTGTGACATAATGGCAAGAACAGCACCCCCCGGTCAAGTGACTGCTCTGTGCCTAGCACGGGGCTAAGCCTTTGCAGGTCTCTCTAATCCTCACCACAGACTGGAGGCGGGGCCCCTGCTCCACTCTACAGCCCCTAAGCAGTAACCTAGAGTTTCCACCCAGGCCTGTCTGGATTCAAAGCCCATGCTCTTTCTGCCACCCAGCCAGACACTAACTGCCCTATCTGGCCACCTCTCAGCAGAGGAGAAAGAGGCAGAGATGAGCCGGGCGTGGTGGCTCACGCCTGTAATCCCAGCACTTTGGGAAGCCAAGGAGGGAAGATCACGAGGTCAGGAGTTCGAGACCAGCCTGACCAACATGGAGAAACCCCGTCTCTACTAAAAATACAAAAATTAGCCAGACATGGTGGCGCACACCTATAATCCCAGCTACTCAGGAGGCTGAAGCAGGAGAATCGCTTGAACCCGGGAGGCAGAGGTTGAAGTGAGTTGAGGCTGCGCCACTGTACTCCAGCCTAGGCAACAGAGCAAGACTCCGTCTCAAAAAAAAAAGAGGCAGAGATCAGCCTTGGCCTGAGCCACAAGGCGAGGAACAGGCTGCATCCTCTTTGTTGGTGGCCACTGGGGTTTGGGGAACATCTTCTGACAGGGCCTGCTGAGCCGGATGTGGGTAAAAAGAAAGCCACTTTGACACTGACTTGTTTAGGACACAGAAACTGGCTTCAGAGACGCCTTAAAGGAAGAATAGATTCAAGGAAGAGCAAGTGGGCGGCTGGGAGGGGGATTTGCTTGGTGAATTGCTGCACCGGGAGACCAGGCTCGGGCATCCCACTGCCCCGCTGCAGCTCCTGTAAATCTCAGCAAAACGAGGCACCCGTGTGACCTCATTACCCTTCCATTACACAGCCCTGCCAGCCCTGCAGGCCAGGGACGAGGCTGCAGGAGCCTGTGTCCAAGCCGAGCACCAGGAGGCAGGGCGCTGCTCAGGGTCTCCTTGTATACCCTACTCAGCCAGCACAGCAGAATGGGCACAGCCTGCCACCTGACTGCACCCAGTGTCCCATGTCTGCAGGGCTCAGCCTATAGGGAGGACATTAAATGTCCAGGGATGATGCAACCCAGCAGCCCCCATGAGTCCAGAAAAGAAGTGGTGGGTGACTAGCTGCTTCATTCAGGCCAGTTCATCTCCTATCTTCGGGAATAGTCTAGCTTCAGTGCCCGTCATGGGTTCACCCCAACTAGAACCCCTCTCAGGCTCTGAGAATGCCCCTCAGCACTCATCCTTTGGGTGTGTTCCCATAAGCCTCTGTATCCTGAGACCCATTTGTGGTGACAGTGATCTGAGCTACCACTGTTAACAGGGTCTATTTGTCCGGCAGTCCCTAGGCCGGGATTTAAGTTTATCATTAGCTCCAATTTACAGAAAAACTCAGCCTCAGAGAGAAGTGACTTGTTCAAGGTCACACGACCAGGAAGCAGTGAAGTCTGAATTTAAACAAGGTCTGCCGGAAGTTCCAGCCCATAAGGACTGTCCATATCAGTACCTGTAGTCACCCGCACTTGTCCTCTCTCTGAGAGCACCTAGATAGACCTCCAAGAGACTCTAGGAAGGGTTGCCAGTGCATGTCTTGGCAGAGTTGGTAGAACTTTCACTGTCCCATTTATCCCTGGATCCCCAGCAGTCAGCACGAGGCACTGCCACCTAACAAGTTATATATGGAGAGAAGGAGTCAATCAAGACCGGCTCTCCCTGCCCAGCGCCAGGTCCCCATGCACCTCCCTTTCCCAGGCACAAGCTGCCCACGGCGGCTCATCTGCTGGCTGCAGAGGGAAGGCTCTGCCTCACTGCTAGGAATGTTACAGGTACTGGATGACAGGGTTCCCTGGGCCCTGCCAAGGCCGCTCCTGAGACAGACAACCCAAGGGACCTCAGAGCCTGCCATGGGCTCACTGGGACAACTGCCAACCTCATTTATTACAACAGAAATCATAAATCACTCATGTAGACATGGCCCTTTGCTTGTTCGTACACACTCATTTATATCATTCTAGCGGTCCCAGTATGAATGATGAATGAACAGGGGCCCAGAGAGGTTAAGTGCCTTGAATTTGGCCACACAGCTCAAGACAGAGTGAGGACTTGCGCTCATCCGATTCTACCTCCGGGCTCTTCCCATCATTCCAGATGGCTCAAGCATGCGCCACCAGGCTGGGAGACTGGAAAGGGGCCAGAGGGTTGAGATTTAAATCCCAGGCCCTGAGGAATTTTACAAATTGGAATCTCTCCCAGAAGCGTTTCCTGTGATGGTCTGAGCCATACCTGTGCCCGTGCTATGTGCGGTTTGAGAAGTCAACAGCCCCTCCCACCCCACCACCAATTCCCTGAATATTTGCAAACTGTGTTTAGAGAGAAAGAGGAAGCTTTCTTGGTAACTTCCCTGTTTATACTAACAGCAAAAGCTCCAACAACTTTGATGGGATCTGCACCAGCAATCTTTCCCTAGGGCTGATGCAGGATATTTAGGGAAGCTCTGTGTTCCAGGCAGGTAAGATAGCCAGGTTCCTAACGGGAATCAACATATCTCTTTAATTCATATTTGAAGTAAAAGAAACATCTCTCTTCCTTCCTCCCATTTGGCTCAGGAATTCATCTCTAAAAATCTATCCCGAGACAAAATTTTATGCCCAAAGATAACTCATGCATTATTTTTAATAGCAAAAAAATGGAAACAATCTTTGCCCAACATTAGCGAGATGGTTAAATGAATTATGGCATATCCATACAATCACAGACACCATTAAAACATTCTTTATGAAAACATTTAGATGACTTCAGGAAACACTTACGATGTAACATGAAGCCAAAAAAAAAGAGCAGAAAGGACATAAAATGGTATATAAAAGAAAAAAAAAGGCAGAAAGAAGAAAAGATTGAGAGGAAATAACCAAAGATGTCGATGGAGGCTGCATCTACAGAGCAGAACAGATTATTATTATTTTTTGCCTGATTTGCACTTTTTTGATACTTTCCTTTTCCCTCATACACTCCTAGGATGATGAGAAAAATAAATACATAAAGCTGCCCCAGTTCACACCCCATTTCCCAGAAGGGGAGTGAAATGTCTGAACAGCCAGACAGGTGACGATCTGACTGGTGAAGGGGAGGAGGGTAGATTCCTGTCACTTTTTCCATAACATGGACACCTCTGATAGGGCTGCACACGATGGGGGTGATAGGGGGATATCCCTTGTAAATTTGCCTTTAAGATTTTCCTGGGAATTTCCATCTCAGACTCAGTTATTTGGTTCCTGACTTCAGGAGACTGTATCTGTAAGGGGTGAGGAATTCAGGTACGGGACTGCCCCTCTCCAGCCCCACACCACTCCTGTCCCTCAGGGGAGATGAAGGCTAGGCTGCAGACAAGGGGGATGGCAACTTGCATGGGTGTTACTATTGGAATCTGAGGCCATGCCCACAAGAAGGCAACTTGCAGTCCCTCTGAGCCACAGAGAGAGGCTCCCAAGGCTTGGGGTTAGGAGAATCCTGTGGCTGGGCAAGGACAAAGACACCAGCAAGTGGGGCTGCAGATAAAACACAATGAGTTGCCAGGCAGCAGCAGGACCCATGCCACTGCTCCTGATGTGCGGCTGCTCCATTTGGCTTCCAAGTAGCTTGTGAGCCACGACTCTATACCCTTTTGTTTTTGCTGCTGTTGTCGTTTTCAGATGGGGTCTCAATATGTTGCCCAGGCTGGACCTGAACTCCCAGGCTCAAGGGATCCTCCCACCTCATCCTCTCAAGTGACTGGGAGTACAGGTGAAGGCCACCACGCCCGGCCCCCAATGACTCTAAAAATCATGTACCCAACCCCATCAGATATGTGTTCAGCAATCTACGAAAACATCCAAGACCATTTCATGGCGACACTCCAGAGGAGTGGATTTAAACCTGGTCCTCTGTGTTCTTTAGGTCTCCAAACCTCCACGGGAACAAATCTCCATCCCTCACTATCCCTACTCCCATTTCCAAGTTTCTTCACTTTAAAAAATAAATGATAATCTCATACAAAGCAGTCTGTAAGGCTAGAGAAAAGCATATAGGATTCCCCCTAAATCTAGGAGGACTCAGAAGCCTGAACAGCCCAGAGGAAACACAGACTTGGAAGACCCCAGATGTGAAGAACTGAGGGGCCCCCACAACTCAGGAGGTGAAAAGGCAAAAGTAAAATTCCACTCAGTCACCAGGCAGGCAGTGGGTCCCTCCCCATATCAAAGTGGTTTCAATCGACTCACCGAACATGTTACCCTCGTAGCCGTCTTTCGTTAGTGGACGGAGTTCGTTTTTCCCCATTGCATAACGCTTATAGCTCTGCCAAGCAAACTGCATCATCTGCAAGAAAAAGCAGCACAGAGAGAACCTCAGTATGACGATTCCTGGCAGTGCGCACTGGCCGCCTGGCTTTGCCCTTTGCAACAGGATTTTAAACTACGTCTAAAAAATAATCTTCCAAATTTTCCAAATTGAAGAAAGTGACTTCCTCTCAACATGATTTTATTTGTACAGTTATAGCCGCTGGGAAGGTCATTCTTCTTAGACAACGCCATGTGTCTAGGGCCTACCCACAGATTTCTTAGAGAAGACAGAAAAAGCACTAAATTCTAGACATCCTTCAGTGCCAAAGTGAAAAGTCACCTCTTCCAGGAAGCCTTCCCTGTTTTGCTCACTTAAAGTCATCCTCCGAAGGGAAGGAAAACGAGTGCTTGCTATAACGGAACACTCCCCTGAGCTAGGTATTGTTAACCCATTTTATAGCTAAGGAAACAGGTTGTAGACATGAGGTAACTCATCCGAGATCGCTCAGTCAGTGAGCATGTTGGGAATTGAGCCATCCCCTCTGGCTCCAAAGCCTTAGGTCTGTCCCCAAAGCCTTGGTTTTGTCCCCTAAAGTCACCATTTGAGCTCTTTGAACTCCTTTGACCTACCCTGGCCTCCCATGCACTCCAGCTCACCCCAGTTACTTGTTGTTCCTCTGGCTCTGGACCACAAACTCCTTGAGGCTAGAAACAACACTTGCCTTGCCTCAGTTTCTCTCACAGCAACCAGCACAGGGCTTGGCACAGGTAGGCATCAATGGATGCTTATGGACTGTCACCCAGAGTATGCACGAGTTCTTACGATGCAAGGCAGCTGCATCGGCTCTCAGGAGCGTCACGCCAGCACCTTGCTCCCCAGCTGCCCCAGGACCTTCAGGCTGAAGCAGATGCAAGGTGACAGTCCACCCCCAACCCTGTACTGCAGCCCCCAAGGTCTCCCTCATTTGCCTTTATGGTGTGCCCCTTTTCCCTTGGCATGGCTGGCTGCAGAGGGAGCACAACACAGCAGAGTTCTGGAGTGACCTGTGGAGCAGAGGAGGAGCCAGGGGCCCGCAGTGGCAGCAGAGCTGAGACGCAGGTGGATGGGGAGGCAGCCTAGTGTGCCGGGAAATACTCAGGCTCCCAGATCAGAGATGCCTAGGTCCTAATCCCACCTCTGCCGCGATCTCTGTGACTTTGGCATGAAATCAGTTGCATCAGCTGAGATCTGCTTTAGCAAGGGACAAGGCCAGCCTTGCCACCATCCTGATAGGTTGAAATGAAAGAAAGTAGTGGGAATGCCCAGTTTCCGACCAGACACAGCAAGCGATTGACAAACACTAGCTCTATTTCCTCCTTGACCTTTAAAATACTGGTTCTCCAAGCCTCGGCTATCCACCCCTCCTTTCATCCAGTCTCTTAGCTCTCAAATGTTAGCTGGCATCAGAATCACTGGGGGGCTTGTTAAAACAGGTTGTTGGGCCCCACCCTGAGTTTCTGATCCAGCAGGTCTGGGGTGGGGCCCAAGAATCTGCTTTTCTACCAGTTCCCATGTGCTGCTGCTGGCCCATGGGCCACATCTGAGAAGCACCAATCTGTTACATTGTATCACTCACTTCCAGACACTGTCCTGCCTCCGTTGGCTTTCCCCTCCTCTCTCCCAGCCTGTGTTTCCCGCCTTAGCGGCCCACTTTCTAGCATACCACCACCTATATTCTCCATGCTCAGCCACTCCTGGTGCCCACGCTTAGAAGACGTCTCTTCCAGGCACACCGGGACAGTAAGCAGCTGCTGTCACTGCTGCAGCCCAAATGTACAGACCAGGAGGGCAGGCAGACCTGACAGGTGCATGGCCTGGACTCTCCATGAAATGGCAGAATAATCTAGCACTACTGCCCCATTTCACAGATGATGAAACTGAGGTCCAGAGATAAGAAGTGGTCAGGGCAGCACAGCAGCCAGGTCAGAACCTGTCTCACTCATCTCCCAGAGCAGCAGACACCCCCCAGGCTTGGCCAGACATGTGGCTTCCCATGTGACACACATGCAAACGTCATGGTAACACAGTCAAGCACTTAGCACGGGCTTTGAGTCCTGGTTCCATTCCTCTGTTATTTTCTACTTATCTTGAATCGGCAATAACAACAAATAATTGCCAGGCATGAGTGCTTGAGAGAGAACGGCCTCCTCCCTCAGTCTCTCTTCTCTGGGGGCTCTCTCTATTAAGTCAGTGTTCGGGGAGAGAGGGCAGGTGGCTGGGGGGCTGGGGTGGGGAGCAGCAAGCTGTTAAAGCATAAATGACAGCAGAAAAGGAGGAGAGGTCTAAGCGGGGGACCACACCCCACCCTGAAAATTCCCCCTACCTAGAGAGAGAGAAGTGGGTGTTCGAGAGTAATTACGAGAATCACAGGTATCTACGTGGTCTCAAAGAAGCTGTCACTGCAGGAATGTGAGGTTTGGAATGTGGCCCATTTTCAGAGTCATCCACACCAAGGGAGGGAATGAAGGCACAAAACATCTCAGCATCACTGGGGACTGAATTCACAAGGCAATCAGGGCTGACTCTTCATGCTTTCGTTCTTTCAATGCACACGTGCCTCCTGACTCAGGCCACGGGTGGCTCAGCCTAGGTGCTGGGTGAGCAGGGGACAGGGGATGAAGAGGACAGCCTCCCAGAAAGGTGGTCCTTCTCTCTCTCCCTAACACACCCTAAGTAAGCCCCTACTAGGTGTCCTGTCCTGTGTCTGGGCTATAGCCACGGTGGGAATGCACTCCCAGCTCCTACCCTCCGCCCCCCTGCCAACTGCCCATCTTCCTTCAGGTCCCAGCTGAAAGGGCACCTTTGCAGGGAGGCCTTCTTCCCAGCCTGAAGTCAGACACTATCCCACATTCCTGATGCAGACCCATGGTGGCCTGCAGTCAAGCTTTTATACCTGCACCTATTTGGTCAGGCCCCCCACCCCCATTCACAGCTACATGCCTCACAATGCATCCAAGGGCTGGCACAAAGAAGGTGCTTGTTAAGTATTTGCTGAATTGGCTCTGGAGCTTAACACATGGCTGGAAGACTCAACGTGGACCACACGCTTCACAGGCAAGACATGTAACAGGCAAACAAGCCAGAGAGGAGGGGCTGCTGGACAACAGGTGTTCAGAAGAAGGCAAGTGTGTGTCTCAAGGGAAGCTTCGTGGATGGATGAACAAGAGTTCTGATGGACAGGTAGAACTGTGAGGGGCACAAGAAAGAGTGACCCACAGAAAGGCTAATGTTTTCACTCTGGAACTGGTGATGTGTGCCATGGGTAATACCTGGACTTTAGAGACAGACAGTTCCTGACATCATGCTTAGGCAGTTCTGAGACCTCAAAGGTCACCTGGGGAAGTTCCTTAATAGTAGTCTCTCTCTTTTTTTTTTTTTTTTGGTGATGTGGCCAAGTGGTAATACCTGACTTTAGAGACAGACAGTTCCTGACATCATGCCAGCAGTTCTGAGACCCCGTCACCTGGGGAAGTTCACAGTCTCTCTTAGGAAGTTCCTTAATAGTAGTCTCTCTCTTTTTTTTTTTTTTTGAGATGGAGTCTTGCTCTGTTGTCCAGGCTGGAGTGCAGTGGTGCTATCTCAGTTCACCACAACCTCTGCCTCCCAGGCTCAAGCAATTCTCCTGCCTCAGCCTCCCGAATAGCTGGGATTACAGGCGTGCGCCACCACGCTCAGCTAATTTTTGTATTTTTAGTAGAGATGAGGTTTCACCATGTTGGCCAGGTTGGTCTCAAACTCCTGACCTCAAGTGATCCACCTGCCTCGGCCTCCCAAAGTGCTGGGATTACAGGTGTGGGCCACCATGCCTGGCCAATGGTCTCTTTTTGAACACTCTCAGTGATGGACTGCTCTCCAACTTCCCAGGCAGCCCATTCGATTGTGGAGTTTCACAAAGTTCTTCCTTAATCAACTGAAACCTGTTTTCCCTTATGGGTCACAGGGGAGACAATTCTTCCTGCTTCCATACCACAGACCTTCAGCCACGGGGAGCCAGCTCTTGAAGTGCACTCACCTACTGAGCCCTCTGAAACTGCAGACCCACACGACACAGCGTTCTTCCAGGCGCCCCATGCCTCTGTCACTCACTTGCTGTGGTTGGTCATTCTTTTGGAAATGAGCGGAAACTGAAGTGTCCACTTGCTCTGGTCACCTCTGTGCCAGATTGTGTAGGTGTGGACTTGTCATTTGTCCCTAATAACTTCCATCTCCTTGGACTCTGCCTATCATTCCATGCTGTAAGGATCTCTCTGGTTCCAGATCCAACCTCTCTCAACACATGTGTCTGCCTCCTCTGGGTAATCTGTAGCCTTGATGGGACTGCTATCTGCATCTACCCTCAGGTTTTGAACCGACACATAAACAGCCAGCTGAGGACTAAGTCAGGAAAACAGCCTCAGGAGTCTCTCTCCTGGACCCAGCTCCATTCTTTGTTTGTTTGTTTTGTTTCGTTTTTCTTTGATGTCATTCATCAGCAAGTAAGAAATCTGCCAAGCAATCCGTACAACCCCCGATTCTCCATTTTTGTACACCAAGATATTGTGAAAGACAGGCTAAAATATAAAAACACTCTGCCCTAGTATAGCTAGTACAGAAAAATAAATTGCTTTTTTTTTTTTTTTTTTTTAAGGAAAATAAGGGTTAGACTGGCATGATTGTTCTTAGAGAACCTATTTTGGCTCCTACAGATCATCATTTTTTATCCTAAATGCTTGCAAATCACTAACTTAAAAATCTATTAGTCCCACTAGGATGGCCATACTAAATAAGATGGACGATGAAAAGTGTTGGCCAGGATATGCTGAAATCAGAAGCCTCATACATGGCTGGTTGCAATGAAAATGGTGCGGCCACTTTGGAGAACAGTTTGGCAAAAAAAGTTAAATATGGAGTTACCATATGACCTAACAATTCTTATTCTAGGTACGTATCCGTGCAGAAAAGTTAATGCAGCAAGTCTCAGACGTCTGTCCTCAGAAAGGCCTGCTTGCGAGGTGGGT